AAAAAAAGTATATATCATATTAAATTTACCCTCTGAATAAACTATTAGAACTTTCCTATTAAATAAATAGAAAATCATATTCATTGTCTTATGTACATTTTTGTACTTCTCTGTATTAACCATTTATATTGATTATAATCTTTAACCAAAGTAATTAACCTTTAATTTCTTCAGGCATAAAAATCAGTTAGAGGAGATAAGGAATTATTTCGATTTCTTTTGTCTATCAGTATTTATGTCATTCAATTTAAACAACTTTGATGCATAAACATATAATTCAAAGGCATTTGCATATTTTGTTTATCTATTGCCATTCTAACAAATAAGGTAAAGATTATATTTAGTGATGAGTGTTTTGTATCTGTTTTTTATTTAGAAATTGTTTAGGCATCCAAAAGTTTATTAACTAATCATTTGTCTAAGGTTTTCAAGTTAGCTAAGGATCAGGAAATTATCCATTAAATTGTTGCGATGTACAACAATGTAAGAATTTCATAAATTTAGACCTTAACTTTAAAAGGCCATTTATTTTATCACTCATTTTAGTTTAATGTGATGCCATTCATTTTTGTCATTTATTTTAGTTTAATACAATTTTATACGTATATTTTAAATTTTTAAACAAGTTATCAAAGTAGTGGAATCTTGCTTGACTCATAAAATCAATGTAGAAGCCCTGGCCGGTTTGGCTCAGCGGTTAGAGCGTTGGCCTGTGGTCTGGAGAGACCCGGGTTCGGTTCCCGCTAAGGGCGCGTACCTTGGTTGCAGTTTGTCCCCGGCCCTGGTTGGTCGTGCGGGTGGCAGCCACTTGATGTGTTCCTTTCACGTCGATGTTTCTCTCTTTCTCTGTTTCTCTCTCTCCCTCCCACTCTACCTGAACAAAAAATGGAAAAATATCCTTGGGTGAGGAAAAAAAAAAAAATCAATGTAGAAAATTCAGTTTAATAAAAACAAATTAACCCTGGCCTTGACAAACCAAAATATTGTGTTGACACTAGTTTATATATTAAACTACATTTTTAAAGACTGAGTCATGACAAAAATGGTATCTTTTGATTAGATAATGCCTTTTCTTCTTTTCTCACAACAGTAATAATAAAACCTATTATGTAAATATAGTTTTAGTGTTCACAAAATGCAACACATCATAATACCTTTTTCTTTATTTCAGATGTTTTGACTATTTATCTGGGCTAGATAGTACTATAATGTGAACATAAAAAGTGAATGACTCTTTTCATTGGATAATCATTCATTTCTTAAGAGAAGGGGAAAGAGAGGAAGAGGAATTTTAAAAAATGAAAAGGGAGGCTGCTTCATATGAATATAACATTAACACTGGACAAGGGTCCTCATGTTCCCTAAGGAAAGAGAGGAAATACAGTTTGTACACAGAAAAACAGATTTTGAAATATACACACATAAAACAGTTACATTAAAATTAGTTTAAGTCTTTGACAATTTTATCAATAACTGATGAAAAAACCAGCATCTATTAGTTCCCAAAGTATGGAAGCAAAGGAGGAGGTTATCACCATTAAACAAAATAATCTTTCTTATTGTTCTAAAGTGCCTCTTAAGTAAATAAGCTTATGTCAAAAGTTCCCCAAAGTGGCTATTACAATTCCAAATCGTCTCTGGTGGAATTGTGCCCGCTGTAGAGAGAAGCACACAGGTTTGTGTTGCGGGGGGAGAGCTGAAAGAAGTGGGTTTGGGGCTGGGAAGAGGTGCAGTTTTAGGCTGAGGGCCCACAAGAGCTGCAGTGGTGAAAGGAAGGTGCCTGTATGAAATTTTGTCTTGGAATTTGGACAAAGGTCATCTCCAATTAGAGCTGAAAAGGAAATGATAACAGTTTCGGGGTCACAAAGGTAAGAGAGCAAGTCCTTCCAAGTTTTGAAACGATGACCTGATACAAAATTTATTCAAAGGACAAAGTTGTTTCAAGGGACGCCGGTCCTTCTGAACTCAGCCCTTGTAGCAGCTGTAGGATGGACTTATGGGGAATTACCTTGTTCTTTCCTTATACACTTTTCCCCTGATAGACAAACAACACTCAAGATAATAGACACACTATAGAATGGTGTTAGAAGGCTAGAAAACAATTGTCACAATTTACCAGATTTACAAATCTGATCAGTAACTGAAATGTCTCAGAGAATCTATTCCTAGGAAAACAAAATACAGACTGCTGAAGGTTCTCAACAAAATGTCAGAGCTCAATATAATATGAACTTATCTCCAGCCATGAATAGAGGTCTCAGATTTGTGTACTATTACTGAGTTGAAGTACTTGTTTAAAACAGGAAAAGCTTTGCAGGAATCTCAGTGAAAATAATTTGTCAATGTCCTCCAGCCAAAGACCACTAGAAACACATGCGATTAAACAAGTTGGCTTTATTACTAATTACAACAAGGCTCCTGAGAACCTTCTCCCATCTTCCTTAGGACGACTTCTCTGGATGTGCAGTATGTACAGGTTGGAGAGGGATGCTGTATGTGGGGAAGGGGACCTTTCACAAAAAAAAAAAAAAAAAGGCCCTAAACAAAAAGCCATCAAGCAGTTCTTTCCAGATGGAATTCCACAGTCATCTGGTGTACCCTGCTTAAACTATACCTAAACTTTTTCTTTTTTTAAAAATTTATTTTATTTATTTATTTTTCTTTTTTAGAGATAGAAGAAGTGAGAGGGAGAGAGAGAGAGATAGAAACATCAATGAAAGAGAACATCGATTGGCCACCTCCTGCATGCCACCCCCACCTGGAATGTGTCCTGACCAGGAATCGAACCGACAACCTCTTGGTGCATGGGTCGATGCTCAACCACTAAGCCACACTAGCTGGACTAACCTTTTTCTTTTTAATTAAACTTTTCATTTTTAGATAATTATAGCTTCTCTTGTAGTTGTAAAAAAATAATAGAGATATCACTTGTTTGTATCTTTTTTCCCAATGGTAACATTTTGCAAAACTATAGGATAATACCACAACCAGCATATTGACATTGATAGTTATAATACAGAACATTTCTATCACAAGGATTCCTCAAGCTGCCCTTTTATGTATTGATTGATTGATTGATTGATTGATATTTTTTTGTTTAATTCTCACTAGAGGATATTTTCCCATTTATTTATTTATTTATTTTAGATAGAGTGGAATGGAAGGAGGGAGGGAGGGAGGGAGAGAGAGAGACATTGATGTGAGAGAGCCACATCGATTGGTTGCTTCCTACACACCCTGACTGGGGCTAGGGATCAAACCTGCAACCCAGGTATGTGCCTTTGACCAAGAATCAAACCCATGACCCTTTGGTCCTCAGGCTGACACTTTAACTGCTGAACCAAACCAACCAGGACAAACTGCCTTTTTATAGCCACACCCACTTCTCTCCTATTCTCATTGCCTTCTTAATCCCTGATAACTACAAATCTGTTCTCCATTTCTATATTTTTGTCATTTCAAAGATTTTATATAAATAGAATTGTACTTTATATATAATCTTTTGAGATTGGCTTCTTTTTCATAGCATAATTCCCTGGAGATTTATCCAAGTTTTTGCATTTATCAATACTTTACTCCTTTTCATGGCTGAGTAGTATTCCATGGCATGTATATATCACAGTTTATTTAATCAATGAAGACATCTGGCTTGTTTCCGGTTTTTGTCTATTATAAACAAAACTGCTGTAAATATTCATGTACACTTTTTAGAATTATATTTTGATTTATCTCTAGCATTTAGTTTTCTTTTAATCCTCATCTAATGATATATTTGTGTGTTTTTTAAATTCTAGAAAGAGAGGAAGGGAGAGAGAAGGAGAGAAACATTGATGTGAGAGAGAAACATCGACTGGTTGCCTCCCCAATATGGGATCAAACCCGCCACCTGGGTATGTGCCCTAACCAGGAATTGAATCCATGATACTTTGGTGCATGGGATGATGCTCTGACCACTGGGAAACACTGGCCAGAGCTATCTCTAGTGTTTCTGAGTTTATTCTTTTGTACAGCTTTTTAGTGACAGCTCTAAGTATTGTATTTACCTACATTATTACAGTCTACTGGCATCATCATTTTACCAATTCAAGTAAAGTGTGTGTCTTACCTCCTTTATGTCCCTTTATTCATCCCTGTTTATAATATAATGATCTTTAAAAATTTCTCTACATTTATTTAGAACTACATCAGCCAGTGTTATAGTTTTTGTTTCGATCATCTAACATAATTTAGACTCTAAAAAAAGACAAAAAGCCTATTGTATTTACCCATATTTTTGCTTATTATGTTTTTTTTCTTTTATGATATTCCATAGCTCCTTCTTTTCTTGATTCCTTTCTGTGTAGAGAACTTATTTTCTTCATTCTTTAAAGCAGGTCTGCTGGAAACAAATTCTCTTATATTTTTGTGGGATATAGGACTCTGAGTTGGTAGATCTTTCTTTCGACACTTAAAGAAATGTGCCATTTCCTTCTGTCTTCCATAGATTCTGATCAGAAATCTGCTGTCCAATAGATTCAGTGGTTCTCAACCTTCCTAATGCTGTGACCCTTTAATACAGTTCCTCATGTTGTGGTGACCCCCAACCATAAAATTATTTTTGTTGCTATTTCATAACTGTAATTTTGCTACTGTTATGTCTTGGGAAACCCCTGTGAATGGGTCACTTGACCCTCAAAGAAATTGCAACCCACAGGTTGAGAACCACTGATGACTGTAGTTTTGCAGGGCATTCATGTCAACATAGACACTAAGCCAAAAGTCTCCCAAGTTTGTGGTTTCAGCTTCAATCAAATAAATTAATATATATTCTGTTTCCTATATATTTTTCCTATAATTTTATCATGAAATATAATGGAGCATATATCAAATAATTAGCTAATATTTTTTTATTTGTGTTTCAAAGTAAAGCTAGTATTTCTCTCCAGTTCATTAAAACCTAGAAAAATGTCAGTAGTGAGCAGAAAATAACTTTTTGTGTCTGTTTTTTTTTTTTAATCCAGCATGGAGAGGAAACTTATGTCCTTGCCTCTGTCCACCTCTATAACAGAAATGGAATCCAATGGCACCTTCAGCAATAACAACAGCCACAAGAACTGCACAACTGAAATCTTCAAGAGAGATTTTTATCCTATTGTGTACCTGATAATATTTGTCGGGGGAGCCTTAGGAAATGGCTTTTCCATATTTGTTTTTCTACAGCCTTATAAGAAGTCCACATCTGTGAATGTTTTCATGCTAAACCTGGCCATTTCCGATCTCTTGTTCACATCCACATTGCCCTTCAGGGTTGACTATTACCTCAGAGGCTCCAATTGGATATTTGGGGACATGGCCTGCAGGATTATGTCTTATTCCATGTATGTCAACATGTACAGCAGCATTTATTTCCTGACTGTGCTGAGCGTTGTGCGCTACCTGGCAACTGTTCACCCCTTCCGGCTCTTCCATGTCACCAGCATTAGAAGTGCCTGGGTTCTATGTGGGATCATATGGATCCTCATCATGGCTTCTTCAACAGTACTTCTGAAACATGGCTCTGAGCAGAAGGGTAATGTCACATTTTGCTTAGAGCTGAATTTCAATAAAATTGTTAAACTGCAGACCATGAACTACATCGCCTTAGTGGCAGGCTTCTTGCTGCCATTCTGCACACTCAGCATCTGTTACCTGCTGATTATTCGAGCTCTGTTAAAGGTGAAGGTCCCAGAATCAGGTCTGCGAGTTTCTCACAGGAAGGCACTGACCACCATCATCATTGCCTTGATCATCTTCCTCCTGTGTTTCCTGCCATATCACATACTGAGAACCTTCCACCTGATTGTGTGGGAAATGGGTACATGCACAGACAGGCTGCATAAATCTGTGATCATCACACTGGCCTTGGCAGCATCTAATAGCTGCCTCAACCCTTTGCTTTATTATTTTGCTGGGGAGAATTTTAAGGACAGACTAAGGTCTGCATGCAGAAAAGGTCATCCACAGAAGACAAAATGCAGCTTTCCTGTTGTGTGTGGTTGAAAAAGAAAACAAGAATGTAAGAAATAATTAGGTGAGGCCTATTCTTATATTCCTCTGTCCACCTTCATTCAAACATAGTTTCCACATGACCATGTATTTACACCATTCTCAACAAAGGTCAATTCCCAACATTTACTTGACCATGACGTGTTAATAAGACCTACTTAAAAATTTTTATTAGGTATATTTTCAGTGCTTAAGTCTAAATGAGGAACATAGCAGGATCAGTATTTACTAGTGTTGCAATCAGAAGTGTCAGACTGAGAAAAATGCCAAGCACAGTGGGTGCTACTTTTCATCAGATTCTGTACCAGACGGCCCATCAAGCAGTCTAAATTATTAACTTGAAGATAACCCCCAACTCCCCCAGCTTCTTCAGATCCTCTTTCTTGTTCAATCTCCCTGAGATATAGCCAATTAAAAAAGCTGCTGAAGGCCCCAGAGCAGATAAGTAATGTATCCTAAGAACTCAGGGAAAAGACCTTGATTGTGAAGAGAAAGGTTATCCTCTAACAAAGCAGAGTGAAAGTCCCAAACAAGAGCACTGAGAGAAAAACTGGGAAGAAAGACTAAGGCACCAGAGAGCTGGGGAGAATGAGGAGGAAGGAGGAATTTCACTTTGCACTGGGAAGCAAGAAGGTTCCTTTTGCCTCTCTTTTGCTGGAGGGGTTAAGAAAGACAGGAGAAGGACAGAAGGCATTGCCCTAGAGGGTAGAAGGATTATGTGTAGAACATGGGAAAAGGGTAATTAGTTTTACTCTTGAGATTTGGGTTCAGACTGACCTCACTGCAGTTCTCAGTCTTGCATGTTAATCTATTGGGATGGGAGCCAGAATGGAGGAGGTAGCTCTAAGGGTTTGTTTGTGCACTCAGAGAAAGGGTGAAGTTGAGGACAAGTTGCAAAAGTTGTGATACCCCTACAATTCTATTAAAGTTTTGGCAGAACATAAGTAGGGTAGCTTTCCATTTGAGAATGAAGAAAAGCACTGGATAGTGAGAGGGCATCCTTTCTGTTCACTGAAACAAGGCCAAGAAGACTATAACTGCTACCATCATGACCACTGCATGTCCAACAACTGAGTGCCCTCTTTATGCTGAGCAGACTGTGACAGGCACTTCACATTTATTGATCTCACTTAACATTCACACAAGAGCCAATGTTTCCATTTTACAGATGAAGAAACTGAAGTTCAAAGAAATCAAGAAACTTGTTCAAGTTCACATAGTTCATAAGAGTTAAAAACCTCTATGACTGGTTGGCTGGGTGCTTCCCACTGTTTCTGAAAACCTCCAGGAAGATTGGTTGAAAGTCAGAATAACAGTTCTCTTCTCCGACCAGGCACCTACCCCTCTTCACTCTCATGAGAAGACTGAAGGTAGAGGCTTTCTCTTCTGCTTTGTTTACTCCAAGCAGAGTGGAGGGTGGGAGAGAGGTGATGTTCTGCAACGTGGGAGGGACTAAGTGAAAGCCTGTATGTAAACAAGAGCACCAGAGCCCTTCCCTCACTCAGCTGCCGGAAGGATGACAGACTCATCCTGTCAAGACAGGAGCCTGGAGAATCTTCCTGTGGAAAAACTGCCAACTGAAGAAAAAAGACCAACATATACAAACAGCTGGGGATTCCCCAACACAAAAATTAGGACCTGCCCTATTATCTTCCTGATGGGGAAGCCCACATTGCAACTAACTGCTTGTCCTCACAGAGAGTATCTATTAACATGTAAACCTCACTCTTAATTATGAACAGTCAATGCTTACTACACACATTGGAGAAAATGCCAACAAATAAATGAGAGGGTAGAGATATTTTTAGTATGGGAGGTCTCAAAATTTTATCACCCTTGCACTTTTGATCAGGATGTGCTCTTTCAAAATTAATGGATTAAACCAAGATAGAGGAAAACATGACATATAGGAAACAAGGAATCCAACACAGGAGAAAGGTGAAAGGATTTCTCAGGATAGTGGTATGTAGCTGAAAAACAAGAAACAAATTGATTTGTATACATTGGAGACATTTATATATTTTTAGAGAGTTTAGGATGAACTAGTGAAAATACATAGAAAAATAGCAAGTGTAAAGACAATGCAATTATTAAATACTAGGGGAAAACTTTTAAAGAAAGGAAATAGTATACTACATGGTTTAGTTGTGAATAATATTTACATACAGAATATGTAAATAGCAAAATTCTATAACTTTTTTTCAAGAAATGAGGGGAGAGAATTTGTATGTGAGGGAGAAGGGGTATTAGAAATCTAGGTCCCCATTTCCCATTACAGAGAATGTATAATAACTATAGCTAGTGATTGAGAAATAACTGTGTGAAAATGTTATTTAGCAATAGGATCTAAAGCCCAGAAGAAACAGTGAAAAGAATTGACAGGGATTACCTCTGGAGAGAAGTTGCAGGTGAGCGGATAGCGTAGGAGCTTCTCTTTCCTTTTAAGAAGTATTTAACTATGTAACTTGCAAATATATATTGCTGAAATAAAATAAAAATTAAGTTAAAATTAAATTTAAAAATTCAAATTAATGCTTTGTTTTGTTTTAAAAAACCGGGGAGAAAAAAAGAAAGGCCACCAGAAATGGAAATTGAATGCTGAAAGGACAAAGAAAAGCAGAAAAGGACTAAGTTAGATTTGGATTTGGAACCCTGAGTGATGCTCACCCACCTCTGCCATGGGAGGCGAGTCCCATCTTGGTGTGAGGGGTGTCACTTCGTGGGCTAGAGGTGATTTGATATGTCTGGATATATTTTAGTTTTAAGTAACAGAAAACAATTCCAAGTGGCTTAAACAATCTTTATCTCATATAACTGAAATATTACAAAAGGAAGTTGGACTTCAGGCTCTCTTCAAACAGGGTTCTGTGAGCCTCCCTCTATAGGTATTAGCTTGGTTCCAATACCAGATCTCATTAAGGAAAAGCTGATTGCTAGCAGCTTCAGGCTACATACTTCTTTATTTGTATCCAGGAGGAGATCTTCTGCCCAAATCAACTAAAAGTCAAGAGCTTCCTTTTGATAAGACCTACTCAGATCACACAGGGCTCCTAAACTAAAGCAGGAAAGACAGGGTTGCCTTGAGTGAGGATGATCTGAGTCTACATCTGGAGTTGAGGTTGGGGATAAACCACTGAAAACCCAGCAGGAAGAGAGGTAAAATGAGGTTTGCAGAAGCCACATATCCTGCACTGCAATGAGGTGGAAAGAGAACTGCCAGCCAGCCAGGCATCCGTGCTGGGCATGGCCTAAACCTGAGCAACAGGCCCCGCAGCCGAGGAGGTGGAAGGATGATGCGCTCAGGAAGAAGTCATAGGGATTTTCAACTGGTAACTAGAAATCTCAACAACCCTCCAAGAACAAGATAGTCTAGATAAAGCTGGGTGTAACTGAGAGCAACCAAGGCCCTTAGAATGAGCAGTAATGCAGGACAGGAGTTGTGAGTTATTAGTGTCTTTAAGTCTAAAGTGAGTGTGTGTGTGTACGTGTGTGGAGAGAGAGAGAGCGCGCGCATGCGCATGCGAATGAGCTTAATGACTTATTATTCCTTTTCAGGACATTTCCTTTTTCCAACCAGGGTGAAACATCTCATTTTTCTCATTTGGTGACTAATGTTGTCGTTGAAGAAGAAAACAAAATGGAACTCTTCATTTACCAAAGTGAAAGCAAAGAGTGTCCTGGAATTCCAGATACGGTTTTTTTTGTTTTTTTGTTTTTTTTTTTGCTTGAGAGATCAGATATCCCCTCAAGCAAGTATATAAATTGTTTAACTGGGAGAAAGGATTTTTGTGGTGTAAACTTTAGTATAATTATGATAGTGGAACTGGCTTTAAATGACCAATTCTCTGTTTTAAATTTAATTAAGATGATTTGCAATTTTTCTGAAATAGAAATTATGTCAAATTCACAAAAAACAGGTTAGGAGGGGGAGATAGACAAAAGGATGGTTTTCTATAGAGAACTTATTGTTGTGGCGCGACAGAGTCAAAGAAAGACCACTAGAGAATTGGAGTCCAAATAAGAGCCGTTGATGAGCCGGCCCGCGTCTGATTCCGAACACCCTGGGACAGAGTCTTCGGAATCAGCCCCGACACGCTTCATTACCTGCCTTTATACCTGACAGCAAATAGGATCTTCCTGATGTAATGCCCAGGGCCACAGCAATGCTGTACAGAATTAGTTTGCCTTGCGGATAACAGGATCACCCAGGAACATGCAGGAACACCCAGGTATTTTGGGTATTTTAAGGTACATTACGTCACACTTAGCCCCAAGCTGCACAAACACAATGCAAGCCTGATTCCTTGAGATTGTGGGGAAGGTCAAGTCTCTGATTCAAGACCTCCAGGCTCCGTGGACTCCGTCAGACACATAGCCGGCTCCCAACAATTTCTTGGTTCAGGTAGTATTCCAATTTACTGAGGTTATTTTGACTAAACAGGTTCAGCTAGAGGGCACACAGTGACTTTCCCAATCATCAATTATGGAGCAGCACAGTAATTTACCAATCATCAATTATGGGGTTATAAACATGCCAGCACACTTATTTTTATTCTTGGAAAAGAGCTTTAAAGTAGAAACCCTAAGGGGAGAATAGGGGTAAGAAGGGGGGTAATCCAGGGACTATGGTGGTTGGAGCGCCTTCCTCTGAGGACATTTCATCCCCAAGTAGATAGAGACAGCTACTTAAGGTTAATAAAAGCCACAAGGAGAAATACAGCAAAAGAGGATTTGTTAAAAAGTTAATATTATTTCAGAGCTCTACTAAATAAAAAGAGTATGGCATTGGCATAAAAATCCACAGAGAGATCAAAGAAACACAGTTTAGAAACAAAGGCTAAATTACATGGGGAGTTGGAAAAGTCTCAGGAGGTTTAGATGTGTGATGTGCTGAGGAGGCTGAATTCTAGGCCCAAGGACCTCCAGCTTCTCCCCTCCTCCCTTGCCCCAAACATCCCTGAATTCTAAGTGTTGGCTGGAAATACCTGGTCCTGATGGATATAAAAGGAACTGCAGCCTTGGTCAGTAAGTCAGTGTGGACAATGGCTGATGACCAGAGGGGCCTACCTGATGTAGGTTCATGTAGGACGTCAGGACCTTTGCACAGTCCTTAAGTTATTCACAAGATCTTTAGATAAACAAACATGTGTGAATTAAAGAAGAATAAAAGTGTTACCTCTGTTCTTCCTTCCTAGCCTGAGAAACAGAATCTTATTAGTATCTCCACACTCATTTATGTACCCCTGATCCAAGAGGGAACCATTATTCTTAATTTGTGTTAATGATTTTTTTTAGCATATAAATGTATCCCCAAGCAAAACATTATTTAATTTTTGTATGTTTTTTCACTTTCTATAAATGGAATAATATAGCAACTATTTTTTTTCTCTATTTAGCTTTATTATTTGGGGTTAAGTCATGATACTGCTGCTGGTATGCATGTAACAAAGTTTAATTATCCATACTTCTGTAAGTCTGTGAAGACTCAGATGATTATCAGATTGTGGGTATTGGAAACAGTGCTCCTATGAATATTCTCATCCACGCTTTCCCTGCATACATGTAAAAGCTTCTCCAGGTTATACACTTTGGAATGTGTTTATGATCAACATTTCTAGGTAATACCCAACTCTCTTCCAAACTGGTTTTACTAACTTGTTCCCCTAACCACATTTGAGACGGTCAGACTTTTAACCTGTTGAACCCTAGTGGGTTTCAAGTGACTTTCACTGTGGTTTTCATAGTTCATGTGATTTTTAAATATTAAATTGAGAGAGTTAACTACCAGCAAGGTTGTACTTTTGGTAAAAGAAATATGGTAACAGATGGACAATCTGAAATGCAAGAAGTAATAGTGAACAAAGATATAGATAAATATATGAGTAAGTCAAAAATTCTAAGTTGATAGCTAGGTTGACTACCTTTTTGTTGTTGTTGCTGCTGATAAAGCCACTCTAATTCCTTTGATACTAATAGCTAGCATTTATTATTGCTGCACACTCTTCTAAGAAATGTGTGTGCATTTTTTACAATATAAATGTTATTAATCATATTTTATAGATGAGTAAACTGAGTCATAGAAAGAAGTAACTTGCCAAAATGTAATTGCAAATGATAGAATCAGTATTGAAACTCAGTCGGGTAGTTCCAGAGGTCATGCTCTTACCAGCCACACATGCCATCATACTGCCTTACAGTCCTATCTACTACATATGGTGTGAGACTTCTTCAAAGAAGAGTTCATTTTCCTTCTGGTTGGTCTTGGAACTCCAACTGTCATTCTGCAAGAAGACCAAGAATTGGAGAGAGAATGTGAAGAGCTCCTAACCAACAGCCAGACATGTGAGTGAGTAACCCTGGGTTGACAGCTAAGGTTTCAGATGACTAAAATCTCTCTGGCTGCAACCCAGGCGACTCTCAAAGAGAGAACTTTCCAGCTGAGCCCAGTCAACCCCTAGTATGAAATAACACATTGTTATTTTTGGCCACTAAATCTTGGGGTGGTTTTTTTGTTTTTGTTTTTTTGTTTTTTTGGTTTTTTTTACAAGAGGTCATCTGTTAGATTTTCCATCTAGGCTTAATCACCACTTTCTCTCATTCCATGAAGTCATCAAAACATCAACAAAGTTCCCTTGGATTGAGAAAATACTCTTAGGGTGAAAGTGGTTCTTGGCACTCCTTTATGTCTCAAAAGTTAACACTTTTACTTTGTTTTGACCTCTCTGGATTTTATCTGCACTCTGCAGTTCACTTAAAAATTAAACTTACAGCATTTATATCAGGCCAGAATTTGAGGAAATGTCTATATCTATAATGTCAGAAAATAAAGCCTTGTTACTTCTTTGTAAGAAAGCAATTAAGGTTGTGCTCTAGGGTTTTGTTATAGATTTGATGCAAACCTGTGGCATGATTTTCTAATGAAAATGCCTATCTCTATTTCCCTTTTAATCCCCTGCAATTCAGCTTCTGTTGCCAACATTGTACAAAAACTGGCTTTGCCAATGTCAGGCCATGTTGTCACATGTAATGATCCCTTCCTTAGCTTTAACTTCAATGACCTCTGTTCTATTAGACACAACTGACCACTACTTACTCTTGTAACTTTTCATGGGCTTCATGATACCACAGTCTCTTAGTTTTCATCCTATAGCTGTCTATTTCTTCAAACAGACTTTGATTTAGACACCTACATGGATTTTTTGTTTGTTTTTTTGGTACGTGCCCCTAGCGGAAACTGAACCCAGGACTCTCTAGTCCGCATACCAATGCTTCAACCACTGAGCCAAACCAGCCAGGGCCCGACATGGATTTTTTAAAACTTATTTTTGCTTTCTGATTCATTCATCAAGTACCATAGATTGAATTTCAACCAATTTCTTTGAGATCACAAGCTCTGTTTTAGACCTTTGGCCAACCTGTGTTTGACAGCTTAATTCTCTCTGATTTCACTTGTCCAGTAACCAGGGATCCCAGTGAGTGGAAACAGATTTTCTGAGGATTTCATCACCACTGGTGTGTCCACTCTGCAAGCTTGAATATCTTGGTATCAGCTGATTTATAGTTCTGAAAAAGATTATTTTTCTTCTGCTGCCTCTTCCTTTGCCAAACTCAGTGGCCTGGTCAGTCTTCCCAGCCACCCCACTTCTTTTGCTGCTACAAGGTAGAGAAATCGAAAAGAATTCCATGTTTTCCCAACCAAGACATTTTTTTTTTAATTAATTAATTTATTTATTTTTATTT